TTCCTTCACTTTTTTCTTGTTTTTTACATGTTGAAAGAAGCTTTTTTTGTTATTTTTGACTTTGGTCGCAAGCCTTAGTTCATTTTGAGCCTTGGCTTTCTTCACTTCATCTTTGCAGGCTCGGGCTATTTGCTGATATTCTGACTTAGTTATTTTCCCCTCTTTCCACTTTCTATACTTGTCCTTTTTATCTTTCAATTTGTCAGAGAGTTCTTTATGCAGCCATGCTGGTTTCTTTTGAGAGCTGTTGTTTTTCCTCTTTGTTGGTATTGTGCTAGACTGTGCTTTTATTATCTCATTTTTCAAAATTTCCCAAGCTTCTTGAGTTGTTTTCCCCTTGAGGATTCTCATCCATGGAATCCTTCCCAAGCCCTCTCTAAGTTTATTGAAATTAGCTCTCTTGAAGTCCGAGACTCTAGTTTGACTGTGTTCTATTGGTTGTGCTTCTATAATGTTGAATTCTAATATTGCATGATCACTTCCTCCCAGGGTTCCTATGGCTTCAACACTGTCTATCATTTCATCTCTGTTAGTGAGAATTAGATCCAAGATGGCTAATCCCCTAGTTCCCTTCTCTACTTTTTGGGAGACAAAGTTGTCTGTTAGGTTTGCCAGGAACCTGTTTGATCTTCCACTTGGTGCGGAGTTTGTCTCCCAGTTGATGTCAGGGTAGTTAAAGTCCCCCATTACTATTGTGATGTGCTTCCTACATACCTTAGTTAGCTGACTGGCAAAAAGTTCATCTATTTCCTCTGTTTGGTTGGGTGGTCTGTAGTATACACCTATGGCAATGTCATTTCCCCCCCCCTTTTATATTGACCCAAATGCATTCAAGACAGTTTTTATCATTGTTGTACTCTATTTCTGTGAAGATGTAGTTATTTCTTATATAGAGAGCAACTCCACCTCCTCTTTTATTTGGTCTGTTTCTTTTAAATAATTTAAATCCCTCTAGCTGTGTGTTCCATGTGTGAGTTTCATCCCACCATGTTTCCGTAATGGCAACAATATCGTATCTGCCCTCATTAACCTGAATTTCTAGTTCACCCTGTTTGCTGTTCATACTCTGTGCATTGGTGTATAAACATTTGAGTCCTTTGTGGGTGGCCCTGTGTTTCCTTTCTACATAGCCTGTGTGGTGCCTGAGTTCCCCTATTGTCTTACCACCTATTTGGTTAGTGCACTTTATGTGGCACTCGCTATTAGAGGCTTCATTTTGATTGATAGCAAGGTTGGTATTCTTGTCCACACACACATCTATGCTACATGCACTGATAGCCCTATAGTTTTTAAATTGCCGGGGAAGGGTTGTTCCGTATCAATTAACTCCCTGTCCCCGCTGTTTAGTTTAAATTTCCCTCCAGAAAATCTGTGAATTTATAGCCGAGTAACTCAGTCCCTTTTTTTGATGGATGCAAACCATCTCTTTTGTACATCTTTTGATTGGACCAGCTACTGACATCGTGACTAATATATCCAAAGCCTTCCCCTTTACACCACTCCTTTAGCCACATATTGAATTGTGCTATGCGCTGGCCTTTTCCGTTTTGCTCCTTATACACTGGTAAAACCTCTGAGAAAGTAAGCCTACAGCTTATTCTGCTAAGTTCCTTCCCCAAGCTCTGGAAATCATTCTGCACAGAGAGTACATCTTTTTGGGACAGATCATTAGTGCCAAGATGTACAATAGCCTCCACATCACAGTCCTTGCTGCCATTCTTGATTATTTTAGAAATATGCTTCTTGTCCCTACTGGCAGTAGCACCTGGAAGACACCTGACCTCTTTCAAAGCCTCTGTGTCCTTTCCTAAATTTACATCCCTTATAATTGAATCACCTACCAGAAGGTAGCTTCTCTTTTTGGGAGCCTTTCTATTCTTGCATGACTGATGTGCAATACCTGATTCACACTTCTCCCTGTCAAAATCTAGTTCTTCATCTCGGACCACAATCCCCTGCTTATTTGAGTTATCTTCACAAATACCTTTACCAGTCTCCTTAATGTCCCTATTAAGGTCAGCAAGGGCACTGTAGCTGTTGTGCAGGGACACAGAGAAAGCTTTGTGTTTATGGTTCAAATGGTATAGGGTCTCCTGCTGGAGCAAGGGGTTGGACTAGAAGACCTCCAAGATCCCTTCCAGCTCTATTCTGATTGATAATTTTTATATATATATTACATATATGAACATATACATATACAGATACATATAATTAAAACTTTTATATATGAAGGTAAAAGCTAACACAAAGTAATAAAGTAAGGAAGAAAAAAGAAAAAGAAATCAAAGGAGCCCCTCTTTCTAATTTAATCTGAAACACTTATTCAACTTCTTCTCTGACCTCTAAATTTAATTCTTCAATTTGCCCTAATCCTCAATTTAGTATGATTTGGATGTGTTTGGACTATAAATATTATACGTTTAGGAAGCTATGTAGTAGAAGGTGAACAGAAGGGGCAAGGGAAATTTTTCATAGCAAATAGCTGAAGTATATTGTTCTGGCAATTACAATGAACAGCAGCTGTAATTTTGGAAATGTTTGTAGTTTACAGAGCTGGACCTCAATAAAAGAAAACAAAGCCCATGGAAGCCAAGTTTTTTTTTTTTTTTTAGATTTGCATCTGGAAAATATCTTTGGTTTCCTGGGGCAGCAAGGTAATTCACTGTATATGTATCTGATTTAATGAGCAAACTCAATCTTGTTTAAATGAGTTTCTGCTTCAGTGGAGATTCCAACCCCTCCTTCAGAAAATATTCACATCAATTTCTTTTTGCCTTGCTTGATCTACTTCTAAAAGAAAAGAGCAACATGTTTTGGGGTCAAACTATAATGGCAGGATACATTGCATACATGCATATGAAATGCTTGTTTTAGGAGTGGTTTCTTATCCCTGTTGGATCTTTAACAGCCTCAGATTCACAGATGACAGGAAGAGATGGGGAATTGGAGGGGGGAGTGATGGGAAAGGCCTCCCAGTTTGTTTCCTGAATTTTAAAATGATTTATATAAACTGAGATTGCTTCCAAGCACCAAGCTTCTTTTATAAGCAGCCAGAGGCCACTCTCCATTTACTATGTTACCATGCAAATCAGATTGCTTTGTGACTTAAGGCTTCTTTTTAATATATTTTCTATTATGCTGTTATATTGGAGTAAACATTGATTATGTTTTACCATTATGTGTTTTAATTGCACTCACAGTTTATTAAATATTTAATTTTGTATTGCTGATATGCTATATTTTAGTATGATATTATTATATTGAGGCATATTTTGCCGTTTTCTAAATTCTTTGTTATGAGGAACTGCTTTGAGCTAGATGTTATTGGAAAGGGAATATACAATAAGAAAATGCAGTTTATTTACAGCACAACTGGTGAACATATGGTCTTCCAAATCTAATCATTAGTCATATTGGCTGAGACTGATGGGACTCCATCATTGCAGATTCCCCAGTTTTAATTAAGCGGATACTGTATGTTCGAAGCTGGTTTTAAGGTAATAAGATGGCTTGATAATTTCATTAATGTTGTCAATTTTCTGACCAGGACAGGTAAATAAAATTCTTCCTGCCTTGAATAGATTGCTTAAACCAATTCTTGCTGAATTGGAAGTAATTTCTTCCTTGAAGTTCTTGAACCCTTCTCAAACTAAATTTAGGATTACCTAATATTCAGATCAAGAGCGTAGGGATAATTCTGTCCAGAAGTTCTTTTCCTCAAAATATGTACTGTTGGGTATAAAAAGAAATACCTTTACAACAGGGATGTCAAATCGCGGGCTGGATGCATCATAGCGAAAGCGCGCCCATCCCATTGCCAGCAATGGCAAAAAAGTTGCAATATGTCACAAACGTCATGTGATGTTGCGAGTTTGACACCCCTGCTCTAATGGACCTTGATTTAACAGATATTCTAAAACATTTTAATTTTTACAAGTTTAGATTTCATATCCATTTAATGGATTAATATTATAAACTGGTGGATATCACAGAAATTGATGTGAATGAAATTTGGATTAAATAATCATTCTGTCTGCATGGAATGTAAAATCAACACTTTACTGTATTGAAAAATAATAATTAAAGCTCTCCCATTAAATATTGCACTGTATATCTTTTACAAATCTACAAAATGTATTTTTTACTTTAATGGCTTTTTCTATGATCAAACAAATCATTGCAATGAACTTCCTCTTCTTCTTTTTAGTTTATCCCATGTGTTTTAGCATGTCATATCCATCTGGGACAAAGCAGTCTTTAAGTATTCATTGCAGCTGGATTACCCATTTAGTAAAAACCCTCTGCAGTCAAATTTTTGCTTAACATGCAGCAGATCTCAGACATAGCAGGAACTGTCCAAGAGTTCTTTTTGCTTCTATAAATTTCCCACCAAAGCACATGATCTTGTGGTATTCCTGTCTTGTGGCTTGAGCTCATTAATAAAGGAAAGGTTTAGAAGTTGCAGATTGTTTCTCTGCTCCTGAAGACAACCACACCATTATTTTTTCTCCTCTATATCCATCAATGCCTCTGCTTCAAACACACTGCTACCTGTGTACTATGAAGGCTTTGCTGATGCAATTTGTCACAATTGCTAGTTTTATATATTGCATTAATCATGATACTGGGTTTTTTCCCCTGATTTTGGCTTAGCTTATTGTATGAACCTAGCCATGGTAGGTGAGGAGCCATACAGTAGTTGAATTGTTGGATGAATCTAATCAACTGTATTGTATTCCATAAACCATGGTGGAGCCATATCTTATTAAGCTTTGACATAGCATCTCAGTGCTGCTGCATATTGTCTGTCATAATTAATGGTTAAGGAAGTGTATGAATTGAAATACTCAGTATCCTCATGTATTGCATGCTGTATATAGTGCTATAGTTCTTGTTATAAATTTCAATGTACAAATTAAATATTTTCAGAAAAAAACATTTTCAGTGTTATAGAGTATCTATTGGACGTGTATTGAAAAAAATTATAAATCTTTACATACCTCCTTGAAGGATTTCTTCACTTCTACGAGTGGATGCCAATGTGCAATTGGTTTACGTGGATAAGCCAACATTTCATTCCAGTGGTCTCGGCCTAGTCCTTCAGCATTGTTTGCTACACGACAAACCCCAATAATCTCATTGTGGCCAACCCTGAAAGCAATAATCACATGTTTTTAATACTTTTATTCTCTTTTGTCAATTGGCTCATTAATCCTTTCCCTCTACTTCTTGGTTGTCTATGAATGAACAACCCTATGGAGTTTCATTTATTCATAGAAATAGTCTTTCTAGTTCTCCCATATTTTGTTATTGCTTTATTTCTCTGTCCAGGCTCAAGATATTTTGTGAGTAGGTAGTGTAATATTTTTCCACTGTTGATCTTCTATCCTAACATTTCTTCATGTATTCATCTAATACAACTAGCAAAAAATGTGTATTTAAATCTCTGCATAACAGGCATTCAGCCAGTATTAATATTGCCAAACATATCCATTCTAAAAGAATCCATACCAGTTGGTTTCCTTCATGTCTATGAGTTTCTCTCTTCAAGTAGCAGTTGTGAGACAGAGAAACTCAAGAAAAATGATATCTCACCACAGATTAATCTGATTGAGATATTACATTAAACAAGAACACTGAATATTCAACAAATAAGGGAAACTTTATCTATGATTGCTCAGCATTAATTCTAGACCAGATCCTTTACCTTTTCCTCTCTAAAGGCTATAGAAGTATAAACCAATCTTAGTTCTCAGTCTTTGTTGTTAGGAAAAGAATGAACTATGAAACTCAATTCAAAAATAATGTGGAGAAGCCAAACAAGATGTGTGTATAAATCTGTAAAATCTGGGCTATAAAAATATGGACAACCAATAAATAAGCAAGAATATGTTCAATATTATAATGTTGTCTAGATTTTTACAATTCAAATCTGGTTGATTTATGAAAAAGCAGTGGAATCATGTTAGACAAATAAGCAGCAACATAATAGACATATTTCAATTATTATATATTCAGTTTTAAAACAGAGATTCCAAATCTCTCGTAAATAATGAGTTTCTGAGTCCTTTTCCTTGCCACTAACACTTGCTGCCAAAACTCCATTTCAGTAAACTGAAATAAATTCAGAATCCAAACTGAAGTGGGTGTGTAATTACAGGGATCCATTTTTTTCTTAGTATTAGAAATTCTGTGGAAGGAATTAACCGACAAATAAAAAAAATGTAACAAAAAGAATTCCAACATGCCACCCCCAAAGTCAAAACCTTAGGTAAATCAGGGACAGTGACTTTGTCAATTTGCAATCATGATGTGGATTGCTTTTATAAGTAGAGATTCTAGGCGTAACTTATCCTTTCTCTGAGATTTGCCTGCATGTCAATTTTGAAAGGCCTTCTCTGTAACTAAGAATTCTGGCAGAATGACAATATTTTCATTGTTTTCTCTATGGAGAAAACTAAACATGTTTTTATCAGAAACAATGGAAATCCAGAAATATGTTCATTTTCTCAATAACAGAGAAACAAGGTATACAATTTTCCTGAGTACAAAGTACATGTAATCAAATGAATCATACCATGAAATGTAAATGGAGGGAAATGACTCAGATGGGATTTAGAGATTACTAAAACTCTCACTTACCGGTCATAATCCATAACTGATATAAGCAGACTGACTTGATCCATGTTCTCAGGAGGGATATCAAAAATTATTGCCTCATTATAGGTAGGATTAAGTGTATTTCTTTTTATAGTGGTTTTCTTCTTTTTTAATCTCCTTCCATCACAGAGCAAGGATACTTTGACGTACGGATCTGGTGAACAGGGGAAAAGCAAAGAAATGAGAGAACAATTTCTAGTCTCCCAATAATTAAGGGAGTTCTCTGCACATACCTAAAATTGGATAATAAATATATAGACAGAGGAAATCAGAATTATGATGACAAACTTGCACTTTCAGACTGGTCTTCTGAGTCAAGCTCAACTCTATGTAATTTCATTGCTATATTCATTTCATCTTTTTTGGTAACATTTTTTGCAAATGAAATCAGTCAAGATTATCTAGGTGCAGTCCAGGACCCTAGAAAAATAGAATTCCTTATAGGCATATACAGTAATTCATATATATATATATAGGATCTGGGCAGAAAAGGTGAAAAATTGTCAGGAATTAAAGCTTGACAATATAGACCTCTTTTCATAACTTTTTTTGATTGTGCAAAAATCAATATAGTTAATTAAAAGAAAAAGGAAAAAGAAACTGGTTAGAGGGTTTGCAGAAAATATTAAAAGAAAATTAAAAAAATAAGGGGAAATCCTGAAAGTGTTCTTCTGAAAAATGGGTAAGTTTAGTGATCATGGCATGCTAGCTGATTGTTGAAAGGAGTGAAAATTGCTGTAAAGGGAAAGGAGAACTGAATGATATTAGTTGGAGCTTGGATAAGAGCATCAAACACTTCAAGAATGTGGTTCAGATTCTGCTTGTAATTTTCAGTTGGAAATGTTTTCTCAGCTTGTCTAGATTTTTAAAATTCATTAAGAGTATACTGTAGCTCAGTCGCAACTATTATCTTCTATCTATGTGACAGGGAAAGCTTGGCTTGTCAGTTTTAAAATGTAATCCCAGTCCTCCTCTCTTTTTCAAAAAATCCAGTGGAGGTTGTATACTTAATTAAAGTATTTGAGATAATAGAAAAGATTAACCAAGACATTATTGTTTTCTAGTAAAATTTAAATGGATTGACCACCATGTGTTTTTAATGGATTGACACCATGTGTTTTTAAGTATGTCCCCTCCTTTTTCATTTAGGAGTGACTTGGTGACCATAAATCCAGGCCCAAAAGAGCCCTCTTTTCCATGTACTTATGTTTTGTTCATCTTTATACTATATACTTCTATACAACATCTATTGTTGTATACTTATATGCAACATCTTTGATTTATAGGCATCCCTTAGCTCGTTTGCTATGTGCATCTTTTCAAAATCACTTTTGTTATAAAGCTGTATGTCAATGAACTGTTTTCATGAAAAGTAATTTAAATGTTTTATTTTTCAGAAGGAGAAAGAAGCAAAGAAGAAAAGAGAAAACAGGGCAACAAAAGCTTACTGAACTGACTCTCATAAATTCTTTCTGAATTTAGCTTCATCCCTATTAATAGTCCCTAAGTCCCTCAAGACCTGACTTTGTCATCAGGGTCTCAAGGAACCAAGAATATTCTAAGATGGCTCTATTGTTCTATTTAGTTCACTCCTTCCTGTACCTGATGGTTGCATTTTAAATATTGACTGTTTTTAATAATTGTTTTTATGTATTTATTGTTTTGTTTAATTGTTGTATATCAACCAGAGTCACTTTGTGTGAGATGAGCGGCCATATAAATGTGATTTTATTTATTTATTTATTTATGAGACTTATATACCATTTTAAGTGCAAGCACTCTCTAAACGGTGTACACCAGTAAGCAATGTATATATATATTTACATTGCCCCCAACAATCTGGGTCCTCATTTTACCTACCCCGGAAGGATGGAAGGCTGAGTCAACCTTGAGCCGGTGAGATTTGAACCACTGACCTGCTGAACACAGTCAGCTAAAGTGGCCTGCAGTACTGCACTCTAACTGCTGCGCCACCTTGATTGATTGATAAATGACAGATAGATAGATAGATAGATAGATAGATAGATAGATACTGTAGATAGATAGATAGATACTGTAGATAGATAGATAGATAGATAGATAGATAGATAGATAGATAGATAGATAGATAGATAGATAGCCATTGCAACATGAATGCAAGAGAAATTTGCTGTGGATTTGGCAGTGCCGATAATTATAATTACTTCCTGGAGTGGGAGACCTTGTTCACAATCATTCATGCCTTGGTCACTTCCTGTTTGGATTACTGCAACATGCTTCCCATGGGTATGCCCTTGAAGACACCTGAAAGCTATCACTAGTCCAGAATGCGGAAGCATGGGCAATGGTGGGTGAGGGTGCCCCTAAGTTTACCCATGTTACACCCTGTTAGGAAAACTGCATTGTCTTCTGATTTCCTTCCAGGTGCAATTCAAGGTGCTGGCTCTTATGTTTGAAGTTCTATATGGCACAAAGCCAGGTTATGAGAGGAAACACTTTCCCCTAAGGCAGTGCTTCTCAAATAGTGGGGCGCGCCCCCCAGGGGGGGGCGCGAGGCTCCATAAAGGGGGGCTCGTTTGACCTCGGCAAATACTGTCATATTGGATTTCTAGATCGGATCATCCGACTCACTCGCAAGCGGCGTCCCACACGGCATTGGTTGCCTAGCAACTCTAGAGCTGAAGAGAGGGAGCAGCGCAGCGCAAACACTGAAGATTGTCCCAGCGCAGCCCCAGTAGCAGCCCGACGCGGAGGACAACATGACCGCCAACGCACGTGACACATGCAAAGGACCCGATTGGATAGACATGATGCTCTATCCTGATTGGCCAAACCCGCCTGTGTGACTTTTAGACCCGGAAATCGGTCCTCTGTACAGAAAATTTTTTTTTAACAGGGATGAGAAGACAGGCGGAGAGAGAAGGAGAGAAGGAGATAAAAGAAAGTCTTCCGAAGGCTAAGACGAGGAAATATGACGAGGCGTATGTTTTTTTTTTAATATTGTGCTCCTTTAAATCTTTTCTGCTACAGTTAATAAAGCTATTCTTTGTTGTAAATTGATCCACATTTCTTTCTTTTTTTATTCTCATATACGTTAATAAGGATACAGTGTTATGCAGAGGTGTATTTATAACAATTTTATAGACAAATGATACTATTTACAGTCGCGCGGGGCGCGCAAAATGTTTTCTTCTTCCTAGGGGGGCATGACAGGAAATAATTGAGAAGCACTGCTCTAAGGACATCTACCCATCTTACCCAATTAGATAAGGTGGCCATTCCCCAAATCCCTTCCCTAAATATTGCCATTGTTTGGAGTCTAGGAAGCATAGTTTTTTCTGTGGCAGCATCTGGCCTATAGAACTTTGGCAGACCTTCCTTTCCTAAACTTTCAGATTTGGCTGTTATTGGAAGCTGCCAATCTTTGGTATAAGATGAGTGGCCATATAAATGTTATAAACAAACAAACAAACAAACAGACAGACAGACAAATAAATAAAGTGTGCCTCTGTAGAACTAGTGAACAGTTTTCTCACTCTGAAACATCAATTCTCAGTGATTCTAAATGCATCAAATGCCAAATGAGAAGAAATATCTGTCTGCTCAAACAGCTTCAGGGTTATTGCTATAATAGATTATATATTTGTCAGGAAAATGCAAACACTGACATCTGGAAGCTGAGGCCATTAAACATATTTATGACACTGAATCAGGTATTTTCACGTAGAAATTTCTCAAAGGGAATTAAATTATATCATTTCCTCTTTAATTCATGGGGCATATCTACAGACCAGTAGTACTTATTTTTTAAAAAAAAAAAGTTTCAGCAAAGAACAGGAAAATGATATTTTAAAAATAAGGACATAATTATATACTCCATGAACTTTATGAACTGTAGGGCCTACCAGATAATGGTTCAAACTGTCCACAGTTTGAAACCATTACCCAGCCATTGCTCCTTTGCTATAACAAAAGCGTACTGTGCAAGTCAGAGAGACTTTGGACATACTGTATGCAAAATTCTTTCCCTCCACTTTTTTGAGAAGTGGTGGAACTATATCAGGAATGCTAGGGCAGCCTTAAAACAAGTCAGAGAACACCACCACAGTCTATCATGTCCCTCCATCTTCTCTGGCTAATGGAAGCCTAGCTGAACTTTGTCCTTTGCAGTTCTTTTGGCACCAGTTCTCTCAACCTGTGACCCATATGACTGAGAAGAGAAATCTGTTTGAAAATTTATAGAAACTGAACCTAATCTAAAATTATAATGGCATGTGGAAATGCCCTCGGGAAACAGAAGGAAGAGCCACAGACTGGACAATGGGCAAGTAAAAAAATATCTCAGTCCACAGAAGGAGAGGATGCATGGGACGTGCTATAGAAGGGGCCCTCCACAGTTTTCAGAAAAGTAAAATGAGGAGAGGGAAGGAATTCTTTCTTTTCTTGCAAGATTCTGTTAATGTAAGAATTGTGCTTCTTCTCTGGACTACCTTGAAAGGCTATCAGAAACTTAGACCAAATCAATCTCTTTTTCATGTTGGCCATGCACCTCAATGACAAAGCACAGAAGTGGTGTGTGCACATATAAATTAGGCAAATTTGAATCCTAAGTGTTGAGTCCTTGGCGCAAAGCAGACACGAGAAGCAGTTGGAGTTCTCAGTTTTCTTTATTCTGCGTTCAGCTTACAAGTAGATGGCTTCAAGGCTTCCCAAACGCTCGCAGCCTCTTATATAGGCAACTCCCGGGTAATTGTGTTACTTTTCCTGCGCCAGCATCCGCGCATGCGCATGGCGCTGGCGACAGCCTGTCTGGTCCCGGGCAGCTTTGCACCTGCCCGGGACTGCCTGCAAACGCCCGAGCCGTTTGCAAGGCTTGGGACATAACACCCCTTTCCCCCGGGCTAAAACTATTACCAACATATAATCATTTACTCTATACAATGTTCCGTTCCCCAGGGCTCCCACTGTTTGCTGGCTTTTGCCTTGCCAGCAATGTTATATAATCCTCTAGGTACTTAGGAGATTTCTTTGCTCTCTGTGACCTTCTCAGCTCTGGGTTACTAGCATGAGTTCCCTGACTGGAGGGAGATGTGAGCCTGTTCTCCTTATTTTGTCTTGGTGCCTTCCAAGGACTATGCCCCGATGCCTGGCCTGCTTGCTCGCCCACTGGGCTCG